GCTGAACAAGAGATCATTTTTGCTGCTACTTTCATATGTTGGGAGTCATTATCTATGAGAGAGAGCATTTTGGCCTGTGGAGACCCTGGGGGAGCCTCTTGAGCCCCGCGTGTGTCACAAGGTCTGGTAGGGATGGGTGTGGGTCAGGAAGTCTCCGATTCCCGTAAGAAAGCTGAACTGAAACCGCTGTGGAGGAGAGCTTTACCAGCAGCTGCCCCCAAGAGTGCTGCTGGGGAAACTACCATGCTGTGCACACTACTATGAGATAACCAACCGTAAGAGGATTTTAAACAGTTTTCTGGTTTTGTTCTTTTCTTCTTCTTTTTAATGTTGGCTGCTGTGTGGGTCAAAACAAGGAGCTGTTGTCTGCCAGACATTTAACCTCTTTGGCTTGATGCTTTCATACCCTCTTTCGTGTTGTGCTTCTGCTTACTCCCACTCCTTCCTCCTCCCTAGCTGTAGGTTAGAAAACCAGTTGCTTCACAGCAAACCTGTGTGTTTGTTTCTGACAGCTACATCAGATGGAAAAAATACTAGGAAAGATGCATCAGCTCAGTGTTTCAGTAACTACTCGTTTTACAGAGTTTGAGGCTTCATGAGTTAGATGCTATGGTCTGAGTGATGTTGAAGTGTTACTTCAAAATGTCCAGTGATTTGTAAGACAATGGTGTGCAACAATTGCTGCAAAACGTTACTTGATTTTGTAGTGCACTTTAGGATGACGTGCAGTGTGTGGGTGAAGTCCATTTGGTTGGTTTTGTTTTTTCGTGTTATTTTTGTTGTTGTTTTTTGTTTAAAGTGTAATCTGTTTCCCTTCCTTTGGTCAATTTTGTGGCACTGCAAAGGACCATGGTCATTTTTCCCTGTCTGTACCACTCATGATTTTATAGACTTATAACATATGTAACCCTTCAGCTAAACTTACAGGGTTGCATTGTGCAGAGCATTGCCGGTTAAATGAGCCAGAATGGCACTGCCAAGTAGAGCTTCTCCAAGAAAACGTTCTCCAGAAGTGATGGGGTGATTTCACTTCCTTTCCTTGTGGGCCTTATTGCTGCAGCAGGAGAGCTGTATCCACCCATCTGCTCAACTCCAAACCTGCGTTCAGCGTGATGTTTGTACTCACGAATGCCTGCGCACTGAGCTGCTGAACTATGGAGCAGAAAGGCAGGGAAAACAAAGGGATATCAGTGAAAGAAACTTGGAAATTTGCTGTACTGATACCTTCAGTCCTATTTTTGCTATGGGAAGTATCTGGCAGTAGGTGGTTACATAAGTTATATACACATTATATTTTAAATATATACTGTTTATTATATTTTTACATATGTTTTTTAAACAAAACCCATTAAAAACAGTGCAAGAAAATGTATTGAACTTTTTCTGGTCTGGTATAAAATATTTAATCAGGATGAGCATCTCACTTTCTAAATATCACATTAATTTGTAGTGTGAAATTCTAACCTGAAGTGTTTTTGCAACCATGGAAATAGGAAAGTGGAAATACCAATTAAAAATTCAATTAGCTGTGCAAAATTACGGTAGCCCCACATAAGGCTTAGCTCTTGCACATTTTTCATCCTTGTAAAATTCTCTCCTAAAAAGGAATATAGTGATGTACTCTGAAAGGTAACAAATTCATGCTCTATTGAACCAAAGGAGGAAGCGTGCTAATGCTTAATGTGTGTGCTTTCAGAAAATACCTTCTTTTAATCAAAGGAAACATACCTCGTGTGTCTCTGTTAACTGTGGTTTCGATGGTATCAGTCAGCACCTGGAGATTATAGCTTGCAGTGTAGTCTAAACCCATCCTCTTGAGTATCTCCAGCCTAGATACAGAGCAGTAACATCAATACCTTTCTGTAAATGAGTTTCGTGTTCTTCATTGATTTCTAATTTTGGGTGGTTTTCTGATAGAGGATTGTCCAGATAGGTTGTCCTGAAGTAGCCTAGGCTGAGGTAAGAGAGCCTAGAATTGCTGTAGCAGTAGTATTCCTATTTAGCAGCCTAGGTTATCCCTAATTAGAAGTGTGTAAATTTATATGTGATTGGTACTTAAGTTTCCCAAGGTTGACGAGCAGTAGTTCAGTCATGACCTAATTGAGCCCTCATCCACTTCATTTTCCTTTAAGACCTGATCTCATTTGGACACAAGGTAATAAATAACATCAAAATAACACTCCCTGCTCTTTAATGGCATACTTTTACACCTGCGCAAGAGGAGAGATGAGATGAGCACCCAGCAGAGCCTTCCCATGACACAACTCTAAGAGGAGAAAAACACTTAGCCAAAGTTACCCTGAGGAACTTCTTGTGCAGTAGAAGCTGATCTATACAAGAGTGACTTCATCTAGACGTTTTAGGGAAAACAGACATTTCTGCAGCCAGTAATGGTGAGTGGAACAACGCTGCTAAAAATATACTCCAGTAGTTCTTTATCCTTTCATGTAATGATACATGAGGAAAAAAACCCACAACAATATTGGAAAGGAGGAAATCCTATGTCTTCGTTCAAACCAAGGAGGACATTACTGGCCAAGACAATGGGTGAATTGTGTGTCCCATCCTCAGACTTGAATCCTGTCTGAATGGAAGCAAGAAAATTAGAGGACTCCAGGCACTACTAGAGTTTCCTCACTGTAGCACTCTCAACTAGCTATCCCTCTTCCCCCATGCCCTGTCAAAAAGAGAGAAAGAAAAAGGTGCAAAAGTGGATTTAGCAAGACTGCTAATGTTAACTGGTGAGTGCTCAAGGCAGTGTTTCTTGTGACTTCTTTATAGTTTCCTGGAAGTCTAGTAGAAAGCAGACAGTGCAGGCTGGCACTGAGCATTTTTTTTCAGAACTAGTGAAAAACCCTCACTCTTACTTTGCAGAAGAGCCATTTCCTTACTAAAGCAGCCTCTAAAAACAAAACCAAAAGTGGAATGTCTTAGTGTGCAGGATTGCACAGGCCTATTGGTCTTGCCTCTGTAGAACATAAACTCTTAGGAAAAGCAATAAATAGAGAAAAATAAAAATATTTTTCTTTATATCTTAAATTATTAAAGTAAATGATTTGGACTAGAAATATGTTTCTCTGAGTCTTGTGTCTGCTTGGTCTATTCTGCCTCTCAAAAGAGCAAAGGTAGTACGTGAATAACTTAGGTATTGTCAGTGTACTAAGGGGTCACTGCAAAACCTGGTAAGAGAAGTTTTTATTTCCTAAGAAAGTTCTGAAGGTTTCTGATTAATTACATTACCTGTAAAAGCTGCTGTTGCAGGGAATGAGAACTAATAATGGAATAGGTTCAAGGTTTTATATTGAAAAGTACTTCAGCATTTTTTATTCCACTTATGTTTAAGTAGTTGATTTCTCAACATTTTCAAATGAATGCTCTTCATTTTTGTCATCAGTTGTAACTAATTTCTTCCTTTCAGTCTTCCTCACCAGATAAAGCCACTATACTTATGACTATAAAAACTGGTGTTTTTTTTCAGAGCCTGTTTCTGGTTCTGCGGTTCTTAACAAACAAACAAGTAGCTTTCCCTTACCTGTAGCCACTGTTGAGAAAGGTGTAAAAGACAGTAGAACTGGAAAATATTTTCTTCACATGACAATGTAGTCTGCTGCTGTCAGTGGAGACTTCCAATCTATTAAACAAGCAGATAATCTTGTTTTATCCCTAAATTCCATTTTGGTGATGAGTGAACAAGATAGTGCTCTGTATTTTATCTAGCTTTTCCTGTTTAAGCTGTTGCCTACAGTCAATAGCTTGTTCTCGTCATCCATTCTAAGTGCTCTTAAGAGTACCTAAAAAGCCACAGAAATTTTCCAAGGTGCATGGACTTTGGAAAAGTGAGCATAATCTTTACTGGAAGTACTCGTAAGAGTATAGAGCGCCTTATCTTGCTGTAGAAATTGAAAAAGTTCAGCAATTTCTAAGCTCCTAACTTACTAGAAATTGAATCCTCTCTGAATTGGGGAAACAAATATCTTCCCTTTTTAGGTCCTTGTTCTTTTTTATTTCCTTTTTTTTAAGCTGCAGTTTGACTTACTGGTGGTTTATTTCAGGGAAGAAGCCGAAACCATCTCGTCCCGAGTCCCCTACTACAACTCCGAACATATCTGTGAAAAAGAAAAACAAAGATGGAAAGGGTAAGTCAAAGAGTTGTCACTGAAGTTTTTAAAAGAACATTGCTTCTGAGTGACCTGTAACAAGAAAACATTTTTGATGTGAAAAGAAAACGTTGACTAATTTTCTTGTGATGTAAAACCGAGTCTTATGCTCAGGGGTAGTTACCACCTCATCTTAAGGCAAGTAGAAAATTTGTGCATGAGATTTCTTGGTGAAATACCCAGTTCCTAGGGAGAGTAACATATTTGTCACTTTGGTAGCAAGGGTTCTTGGAAACTCTTCAAGCTTCCACAGAGGCTGCTGTGTTCTGAGTGAAGTCTTGGGGAGCGCTTTGCATTGTATTTGGGTTTCTTGGGCTGTGGTTATTTTGACAGATGATCTTTGAAAACGTTTTCCATCTGTGTCTGTCTTAAGCCTGCATGAGGAGCTAATCAAGGCTGCCAGTTTGCAGCAGGAAACACCAAGCCCTAAATCTTGAGGAAACCTAATGCAGCTTGAAGACTTGGGCAGAAAACTTGCATTTTTGATACTTCTTTCATTCCTCCTGTGCTTAAAAGGAAGACAGAAAACAAATACCGTGTAACCGATACAATAAACCATTTCCTCCAGACTGAACTGTTCGGTAGCGCCTGTCAGTTTTGTCAACGACTCCATTGCTTTGCTGTTGGGTCCAGCACCCGCACTCGTGCCCGGGCTGGCATTTGAATGTCAGCCTGATGCCCTGGCCCCCCACTGAGTTCTGCTGTGCTCAGCCAAAGCTGAAAATGAGTCTCCTCTGTATCATCACATCAGCCTAGAGACTGACGTGCTTGCATGCCGTGCAAGATTTGCCAGGACAGAAGCCCAGCCAAACCTGGAAGGTGATGGTGTAAGAATGTCACTCTCTTGAAATCAGAAAAATCGCTACACTGACAAATGAATATGATATTTTTTTTTTCTTTTGAAGAGGGATTTTCTGCAATAACAGGAAATAAAGACCTGTTTGCAAGCAATAAATATTTAACAGGTTAATGCCAGGAATTTTGAGTATGCATTGTTTCTGCTTTTTTTCTTTAATTAAAACCTAATTTTTAAGTAAAAGTGAAAAAAAGTATCAGAAGATCCTCCAAGTAGTGCTCAAATGAAGTAATAGAAGATATCAAACAACTAGCCACAAAATTAAAAGGCAGAAGAGTCTAATGTTTCTGTCGATGATAGCAAGGATACACCGTATTTCACATTTGTCCATTGTTACAAAATTGCTAATTCAGAAGGAATTAAAAAGGAGCGTGTTGCCTGAAACCACTGCCTATTACGGAAAAAGCTACCACAAAAGCATTTGTACCATTTTGAGGAACATAGAATTGAAGTAAAAGAGATATTAATACAACTGGCCATGGCAGGGAAGCAGCTAGAAAATCTCGAGAGTTGCCTGGCTCTCAGTATCCATGGTGTTCCCCTGAGGGGAACATGTATGCTAAAATACCAAGCCCTCCATATAATTATTTGATGCGATGCATGGAGAAAACTGAATTTTTCTACATATTTCTTCTGCTGTGACTCAGAGGAGGTTAAAAATTCTGCTTGTGAGTAAAGCAGACATGATTTTCGCAGTGAATCCTTTTCACAGTGGTTTTCACTGGCTAAGCAGTGACAAATTTTCAGATTGCCTGGATGCAGCTCAGCATTTTCAGTCTAGACTACAACAAAAGCACCCTGGATTAGATGGTAAGTGGCTAGGAATGCTCTCACTTACGGCTGACGTTGAGTCTTGCCTAAGCAGTCTTAACCTTTGCCATCAGGCTGTCCAAAGGCAAACAGACTGACCATTTTATGTGAGCTGGGAGACGTTTGCTGCAAAGGCAGTGTTTTTTCTCTAGGAATGTTCACTTTTCAAGTTTTCACCTGCTGAAGGAGCTGCTAAAACTTTATACTGCCAGTGCTGAGGACTTAGCTGAATGTTTGCAACATACAGATGACAATACAGTAGTAAGGGAGTTTTAATTTGTAAGACACCTCCTCTTGTTGAAAAAAGTTCAGAGTGGTGGCTATTAAAATTGAAAAAACTACAGGGTTAAATTGAAGCTAAGAAAGGAGATCCTGTCACCTTCTGATGCACTGGGCATCATTTTTTGTGAAACCTAAGAAATCTGCACACGCTTTCCTTGCTGTGTTTCTGCACAACTACTTGTGAGAGGTGATACTTTCATACAAGAAGTTTTTTCTTCCTTTCTCAGGCTAACAACGTATCACTGAGAAGCTTATGTGCAGCTTCAAGTGTCTAAAAGAACATCAGACACCGAAAGCCTTAAAAAAAGCAGGGAAAAGGATCTCATTAGTTATACGAGTTTAGACTCCTTAAATGTGCTTTTGTAAAAAAAGAATATGCAAGTTTTGTAGTAGTTTTAAGTACTCACAATCTGTAATTTTAATACTGTTTCTTTATATGTGGTAAACACTGAGCAGATGTGATGTATTTCCATATATAAGTGTTTGTGCCTGCTTGTTTGTAAAATGAAATTCGAACGTTGTCTACCAGCAAGTGCAAGTGTTCACTGGATTAAAAAAAAAAAAATTCTGAACTTTATTCTTGAAGATTTGGCTACCTCAACATATGCCACTGAATGCCTCATATAAATCTAATTGTTAAAAGTAAGGATTTTGTTTGGCCTTTTAAAGGATTATAACACTCACCTCACTTCAGCAAAGTATTTAAGCAAGGATTTAATTTCCAGTATTTTCAGAGAATGGACCTGAACATGTTTGTATTTGAGAAAAAGCAATAGTGACTCCTTCTGTAACTGGATTATGCAGGAGAGAAGTGTACACATGGGAGACTAATGCTGGCTAAGATCGGTGGTTGGAACAAGGTGACTGTGGGCTGACTGACTCTGTAGGTTACAGACAGTGGCTAGGGCATTTGGGCACCCAGATTACAGTAACTAACAGGAATCTCTTCCCATGCCCTTCCGTCACTATTTCCTCACCGTGTTGATATATTACAATGTATTTGTAAAGATACCAGCTCCTTAATTTTTAGATTATTTACATCATTAATAAAATATGGTCAACTAATTTATTTTTTTTTCTGTGCCCTGAAATACTTTTATTTTAGGAAATACAATTTATCTCTGGGAGTTCTTACTAGCACTGCTCCAGGACAAAGCTACGTGTCCTAAATATATCAAATGGACTCAGAGAGAGAAGGGAATTTTCAAACTGGTAGATTCCAAGGCTGTGTCCAAGTTGTGGGGAAAGCACAAAAACAAACCTGACATGAATTATGAAACAATGGGTAGAGCTCTCAGGTATGTACATTTTTAATAATGGTCTGGTTTTGTTGCCTTAGTGTTTGCATGCATTAAATGCCTCGTCTAATTTGTGTAAGAACAGTAAAGAGGTAGTACTCTATCAATTTGGGAAATGAAAAAGTTATTTCAGCCTAATAAATAAGCTGACTAAAAGTAATCCTTACTAACCTCAACCTCAGATCAGTAGCTCGGATGTTTTCAGTGCTGCTGCAAAAACTGCATCTTCACAGTCAGCCATAGACAAAGTAAGAGACTGAAGACTCCAAGTGGGGCAAGCCTTTTCCTTAAAATTTTATTCTTCTTTCTCAAAAAAAATCCTAAACTCAGGTGTATTAATGAAATTATTTCTACCTGTTGCAAATTATTCCATTTCCAGTGGAAGAAACAGTTTTAGAATTCAGGTCTGGATGCGCTTCTCTGAATTTGTGTGTACAGGCAGTTTTAAAACATCTTATCATGTGCCTCTGCCTGTGAGGCTGGGATTTTTCTCATGCATAAAAGGCTGTGCAAAATAAGCAGACATCCACAAAGCTTCACTCTTACCTGCTGATTGAAAATAGTCCGACTGAGCAGCTACGCATTTCTTTTCATTTCCCTTCACCCCTCACCTCGGTGTGTGTAATTTCGAATTGTCATATTAATTTGTAAATGTACCAGAAGGAACGCTCTCCTGTCCTGCGCCCTTTGCTTTCTTCTAGCTAAAATGTCTGCCTAGGCTTACTGGTGAGTAAGCGTGAAGTCAGGTATCTGAAAGAACTGTATGAGTCAAGAGGAGAATTGCAAGTTTCGCACAAGTTTTAAAGAGTATGAGTTGATAGCAGAGCTGCCAAGTCACGGAGTTCTCTTTCTCCTCAGAGTTGTCTGAGGTTGAAATTAAAAGGTGACAAGAAATACCAGTAAAAGAAAGTTGCTTGAGGAAAAAATACTCTATTAAATTGGCCAGTCCTTTATAATGAAGAAACTAGGCACTTAAAATATTAAACCTTAAACTTCTGCTTGCTATTGCTGGTTCTATTTTCTGGGGATTTTGTTGCCTTTTGTTTGTTTGTTTGGGTTTTAGTAAAAAGCACTGTGTAACTTGATGTCTGTACACTTTAAACAGATACTATTACCAAAGAGGAATACTGGCTAAAGTAGAAGGTCAGCGCCTAGTATATCAATTTAAAGAAATGCCAAAAGATCTCATTTATATAGATGATGAAGATGCAAGCCCTAGCAATGAATCGTCAGATTCAACTCTGCTCTCAACTCCTGTGGCCAGTAGAAACCAGTCAAGCAGATCTAGAGCATCTGCAAACACGGGAACAAAGGGAGGATCGACCACAGTGCTAAAAACAGGAAACTCAAAGCCTGCTAAGCTGAAGGAGCACATAGAAGTTGTACAACAGCAGACACCTGGCTTGACTTCAGAAGTTTTCAGGACAATGCAATCTCCCCAGCCAGTACATCCCACTCAGCTTTTTCGGACAGTTCACGTAATGCAGCCATTGCAGTCCCTCACGGAAGGACATGCAGCTGTAACCAGTAGTGTTCCGGATGAAACATTAAATCCCTCGGTTCAGAATATAAGGTAAGAAAATGTACAGAAAATAAATGTATGAATAATAATAAATTCACTAGATGATGGCTAGATAGACTAGATTCTTTGCTGTGCTTCAAAAACATTGCTCGTCTGCCAGTTCAGTTGAAGTGAAACAGTGCCTTTATGGCTGATCCTAGGAACTGGGAGTTACTACAGCATACTGTGACGTGTACGCTCATAAATGCTCTGTCTTTAGTGGAGCAAAGTGCATCTTTCCTGTGGTATCAGGCCTGAGGCAAATCCTTTAGAGAGAAAAAATACACACCTTTTCTTTAAAATTGTTGTCATCAGTTGTATCCCACAACAGAGGCTGTATTTTCATGGCTCTGCTTTTTCACTGACTGTTTGGTGTCTTCACTTTTGGAATTATACATGGTATGTCTGTATAATCCAGCCATAGAATCATAGAATGGTTTGGGTTG